CTTTTAAGCTACAACAGTAGAGTAGGTTTCCCGAGTAATGAAACCAAGGAAAATCTTTTACATACAAACCAAATCACTCTTCATGGTCTTCCTTCTCTAATTTCCATCCACAATGCTGTGGTGCCTAAACCTCCTGAATGCATGCCTTCATTGCCTTGATTTCATGTAGCAGAACTAGATTCCATTACCATTTAGAGCAGGGAGAGATCTATTCACCTGAACAAAGGCAATATTCCCCACTGGTGCAGAAATCCCTGACCAGTAGTGACTTCTAAAAACAACAGAAGAAGCACAGCCAACATAGCTGCTCTTCCATTCCAAGTTTCAGCACTCTTTGTCCAACCCCATTCCCATACCAGTACTGGCGGCGGCAACTCCTTACGCTGCGAGTCATATGCTGCCAATAACTCTTCTACACTGCCGAGGGGAACCAAAGACTGCCAAAGAGCCAAAATTTTCTATTACATCACATGATGCGAGCATGCAACTACAAAATAGACTACCACATAAATCCGACTCAATTTATACCCAAATGTTTGCATTTCTACAACAAATCAAAATGTTTGTTGTGAGAGTACCTGTCGAGCTTCAAGGTTTGAAACTGCCATGGCACCAACATAAGGGAGACTCTCAATCACAGCATCAGCCAAATCTGAAATGAAGGTCGGTTCACATCCTAGAGCAGGAACACGGCCCCATTTTTGTATACCAGATTTTAGAGCCAATTCTTTGTACTCAACATCAATTTCTTCTAAAGTTTCAATATGCTCACTGACAAAGCTGTGGAGCAGAAGTTAAACAAAATACTAGTGTCATTAATTCTCTGGGTGGTCCTTTGGGGGTGGAAGGGTTAAGAAAGAGGGCAACAACTAAATGGATATTAAAAATAAATAAAAAATATGTAAAGAAGGAAGGATGATGTTACCTAATTGGAACAGCTAGCAGACTTCTTACTCCCCTTTTCCCAAGTTCAACTATTGTTTCATCTGTATAGGGTCTTAACCATTCCACTGGTCCAACTCTACTCTGTAACAAAAAATACATTCAATTGTAAGTTAAAAAGGGTGTAACTAAAATCAGTATCCAGGTTGGGTGTGTCTAAACTCTAAAGACCAACAAGATAATTCGGTAGAGATAAGTAATATGCAATTCTGCATCACCTATAGACTAACATGAGTAATATAGACGTCAGCAAGTGTTCAGAATGTTACTCCCTAGTTGATTATTTTTTCAAGAAAAACACCAATTACGACTTTGGTGAGGACTATACTGGAAGGTTTCTACAAAATCCATAATCTAAAAATAAATCTTGCTCTATATTCTATACATTCGACTTTCTTTTTTGTGCTGGAAAATTCTCATCCTTGACAAGAATGAGCACTTTTGAAAATAAAAAATGAACCAATATCATGTATTTACTTTGAGAACATATGAAAAGTAGTTACCTGATAAGCAAGGGTGTATGCATTAGTTATATTTCTTTTCTCAAGTTCTCCCATGACCAAATCCACGCATTCCTCCATCTCTGCTTTGTATGGATCACCAGCCTTTTCCACATAAGCAAGAGGCACCCCATGTGCACTAAAGAATATCATGACCTGCAATGTGCATCAGTTAGTTGGGATGATAACAAATATATTCCAAGCTCAGGCTTAAGGAGAACTCAAGTTCCGGAAAAACTTCTTCAGCAATTCCAAAAGAAGATAAAAAAGAATAATAAGAGATGTTGAATAGTAAAAATCATGAGGAAAAAAAGAAAGAAGCATAACGCCATTTCATAATCTACCTACCTTTAAGTTAATCAAAATCAACTAGTGTAAGTTACCCATACTTTCATCCTTCTGTTAACCTAACCAATAACCAGAAATAAATGATATATTGTATATATAAATTATGCTGTCAATTATATAGGGCGACCAAGTGCAACAGGCTTCCACGTGGTGGGGACTGCGACTGGAGAGGGTAAACATACACAACCTTAACCCATAAGTGGAAAGACTGGCTCCAAAATTTGAAGAATGACAATGCTAAGATAAAAATGTCTACGAACACATTTTTTTTCTTTTCTAAGCCATTAAAACATAAAGCGATGCAATACCTCCTTATGGGAGTCAAAATCTTTTAGCTCCTTTTCGATTAAATTTGCCATGGCCGTTATGTATCCTTCACGTTGGTACCATGAAGGTATCACTGTGTGTTGCATGTTGACTAGATACTCATCCTCTCTAAAGAACCCATAAATAATTCATAACAGAATGTTAGATAGTATATCGGATTATCATGATGTGATAATGGTACATTTTTACAGTAATCACCGGAATATACTCTCCAAGAGACGCAGACTTGAACCACTGGTTGATATTGAAAATTGTGGATAAAGTGGAAGCACAACAAGCTTTGTAATTCCGTCCCTTTTAATCTGTGTGGGTACATTTCAAATAAAAAATTGATTATAACCAGTTTTAGAGCTAATCACAAATAGATAAATGACAAACGAAGTTATATATCAATTACTTATACAAATATTAGTTTATATTTGCATCACTACTTTAATCCAAATAGAAGTTTATTTCTTAAATGAGTTAGATATATAGTAGACTAAGGTATATATTGGTTCATAAGAAAAAACTCATCCAACAGGATAACCTGTAAACTGTGTATCTTTGATTGTACAAGAACAACCATAAATGATCCCAGAGAATATAATAATTTCTAACAATCAGAGGTTTAAATAAAACTATTAATAATGAGGACCTAAAGCTCTTTAACAAAAAGTCTTTATTTCACATGAATGTTGTTTAGATAAATATATTAAAAATCAGTAAATAAATTGACTTTTTTGGCCAATAATAATATCCTCCCATTTTATCACAGCAACTTCCTCATTTTTATAACAGTTATCCCATCTTCTCATTTCACCCTCTCCACCATCCCACTTTATATATTTTTACATAAACTTTTAAGTATTTTTTCCCCATGAACATGTTAGTGTGTGAGCCCACTAAGGAGTATAGTATGAAGAGACCAAATTATGTTAAACTATACCAGTCTGGTCAAAATTAAGCTAAGAACTCAGATATAAGGCATAAGATAAGAAGTATCTTCGTAAGGATAAAAAACAGTGGCTGCATGCAAGCCACCCATTGCAGATTATGTTTTCAAAACAGTAACAAATGCATATAATTCATATATAAACAACTAATCAGACAAAATACCTGTTCAATGGCTTCTTCGGTAAATGGATGCCAATAACGCATCCCAACGTACACATTGGCTGGGACATTTTTCGTCCAAAGAGATTTCTTCAACTCTTCAGCCTGTGTGAAGAATCATTAAAAAGGAGCTTGAAGCCTAGAAGAATAAGAGAGTTAAAAAGAAGGTATTTTAATGGAGGGGATACACACCATAGCAATAGGAATCATTTGAAACCATCAGAACAATATGTACATAAATCAATTGTAAAATCCAATAGACTAGTGAAAACTCCAAAATTTGGCTTGAAATTGTAAGCCAAAGACTTAATCAAGTTAAGGATGAGAAGACAAAATAATATTGTATGATACAATAATTTTAAGTCCCCCATGGAAACAATATTTGTGCCCAGTTTTAACTCCTATTGTATACAAACAATAATGACTTCTTAAAAGAGATCCATAATGTTTTGACAATCAACCATTGTGCTTTTCTTTCACATTCTAAAACTTGAAAAGTGACATTTAAGCTCAGTTGCATCAGGTACATATATAGAGCTCAGAATCACTCTCGATCAAACATATTTTAATATCTGATAATGAAATTTCAAGTCTCCACTGCACCATCTAACAAGTTGATAGTGAAATTTATGTAATAATGTAAAGGAAAAAGAACGTATCAGCAAGTGTCATGCCTGTGCATCAGTCATCCGTCTAAGAGGAGATCCACCACCAATTGAAGCATAGCCTTCTTTGCTCTTCGGCGCTCTTGCAACAGATACAAATTGAGCCAATGGCTTTTGAAGAAAACTAAATAACCTTGGCAATCGTATAATATCCTGCAAATAATTGCACAGGAAATATAACTAACTATAAAAGAATAAGAAGTTCAAAGCTTTTCATATACAACCCCGCTTATGTATGCTTGATGTTATAATAGTCAGTCTTAAACCCAGATAAAAGGTGAAGGTAGTGTTAGGCAATCGACAACTACGTAAAACTCTATGATATGGATCAATGACGTGATAGTATACAAAAAATATAACCAGCCATAAAAATAAGAAATTGAAAGTTTCAGGTTATCTCAACCTAAAGGAATAATGATAAAAAAATCAGCTCAGATAAATAGTGTGTTAGAAGTATTACTGGGTCAGCAAAAAGGTTAAACAAAAAAGGCTGCACATCTTCTAGAGTCTCCGGACCTCCAAGGTTTAACAATAATACTCCAATCTTATCATCACCAATAAAAGGTGTATCAGAAACATCTTGAGCTGTTGGAGTTACTAGAGCTTCCACCGACAATAAGTGCCGATTGAGTGATTGCTTGGAAACCAAGGGCTGTGCTTCAGACCATCCCAGAGAACATCTACCAGCCATGTAGATTTTCAAAGGATTGGTGTTACTTGGAGCCTCCACATGGCCTCCGGAGCTGCGATACATCTTTTGAGAGCTACAGATTGCATGTGGCAACAACCTATGAAAGTAAAGAATATTAAAAGGTTTAAAAAATTCTATTAATCTTAACATTTAGTAATAAAAATGTCATACAAGAAAGACAGAATTTTAATGGGGAAGGATCCACTTACTCCAAGAGTAAGTGGAAAAAACCTACTCTTGGAGAAAGTGGATCCCTTCCCTTTGGATAAAGCATACTACTCACACAACTTCAAGAAGAAATAGTGAAACACAAGTTTAAATCATGACCATTAGACTACTTAAAATGCAAAGGAATTATCATGGATAATTTAGGTAAAGTAAACTTAAGAGGGACATAGAGTACTTGAAAATTGAAATATTATGAATCTTGATTATTACAATAATGTTGGAATTGGATTCAACAAAATCCGTACATCTTATGATAGACAGGGCAGTGGTTCAGATTTAGGAACATGGTGTATCATCAAATTCTAGCAACTAAAGTACAAAAAAGAACTAAGTAAACTTTTGAATTCATGGAAATTAAAAAAAAACAGAATAATGAGTATAAACAAAACACTTACAGAGGAAACTTGAAATTACGAGAAGCATGAGTGAGACATGGAGGAGGTTGAATACTGGAGCAAGAAGAAGAGGAAGGTGATGAAGGGGCACGAATTGGAGAATTCATCATTGATGGTGGAAAAAAAATCAACACTTTCACAACTTGCTAGTTCTTCAGTTACTACATAAATGAAGTTTCAGCATTAGCAACAAGAGTTAAGGTTCAAAAAACAAAACCCAGAAATGAATTCACAAAAAGGAACAAACTTTACCAAATTCCCACAATTTTGGAAGAGGGGATAGCACTAAGCAGAAGCTGAACTGTGAATGAAGACCATTTAGATTTTTTTACTTTTTTTCTATTTAATTTTTAATTTTTATAATGAGAATTGTTTTGAATGAAAGGTAGATTTCTTTGCATCTGAAATGAATGGATGCAGAGAGGGACCCTTGAGGTTGAAAGTGAAATTGGAAAAAATCCACACCACCACTTTTCCTTCTGGTTTATCATCTCCAACCATTTTCACTCTCCACCATTTTCCATTAATGACTTTGAAATGATTTGGGTTTTTAAATTGTGATTAAAAAATTCAAGATGTGATATTATAAATTGGAAAAAAATTAATAAAGTTTTCAATCATTTTTTCCTTTTTTATTTATTTATAATTTTTCATAAAATAAAGCTTTTATGCAAACAAGCTTATTTTATAAAAAAAAAACTTATAAAACAAAGATTAACCAAAAACATTTTTCAATTTATTTGTTTTTCTAAAACAGTGTGTGAAGTATGTTTTTATAATAAAAAACTATATATGCATATTTGAAGAATGATAACTACATCACTTTCAAATGAAATTTTGGTTTTATTAAGTTTCTTAGCATTTGGCTTATGAAACATATTATAAGAACCCTTTATAGAAAATGTAAATGAAAATGTGTTATAGAAATGTTTGGGCTTAATCAAGTAATTTTATTACACACATAATCTTATTAGCTTAATCAAGTATTTTTTGGTCAATTTTATCCAACATGCTTCTAATAATATACTCATTTGTTGATCCTATTAGGGGTAGCCATTTTCTCAAGCCAAATATTTATAAATTATTGTACTCTGTTCCATAAAAGATTAATTGATAAGATAATTTGAAATCGGAAATATACACAAAAAATAAATACAATATATGTGTACCAAAAGAAAAAAACAGTCAATAATCCATGGATTTATACCAAGAAATTGGTTAAATTATGAACCAAAACTTCATACACGATATTATTTAAATTACATAGAGATGAGCTTAAGTAAATTATACCTATACAACTTTACAACTTTTTTCAGAGATAAAAATTGGATTCATAATTCAAGAAACTCAATTATATGTCAACTATTTTCCAATTATGAAAAATAAGAAATAAACTTATTGAGACAAACTACAATTTATTGTGTATGTGTTTTTTTCTTCCATTGATATATTATACTTTAAATATATTGTCCCAATTATTTTTTGTTATCTTGTCAGCAATAAATATGTGGAAAAGGAAATGAGCAAAAAATTCTACATTAAGCAAGACCCACTATAGGTCCCACATGAGGCACAAATCATACATAGGTCAATGTGTATTTATTTGTTTTTGTTCTAACACCCATGTCTATTTCTATAGGGCAGGTACACTATAATTTTGTTGAGCAATAAAGAATACAGTATGGGGATCACCTATTCTAAAATGGTGTCTTTATCCATGTCTTGACTAATAATATTGTGACATGTCATTTAAAAAAATACACAACAATGTTTCACTAAAAAAATATTTATCCATGGTTGGATTTTTTAAATAATGTGACACAATATTATTGGTTGTGACATGGATGAATATACCATTTTGGGATAGGTGATCCCCATCCAGAATACACATTATCTGATTTCCAATTTTATATATTCTCACCAATATTTTGAATTTATGACTACTGGAATTTCAAAGTAACCATGTTTTATATGTTAGTATAAGGTAGATGGAAGAAAAAAAAACAGATTTCAATCACTTGAATTTTAAGGGGTTTGGATATTTCTTTTGCTTAAAGTGCATTAATATAGACCTAATATCATTATACTCAATTAATAAAATTACGTCAAACCAAGCACATCAAGTAAAAAAACCATAGTATAAATTAAGCCTATGTATATGACAATGATGAATCTTTCTGAGTTTCTTATTACACAACACTCAGAAGCAGTGAGTTTTGCATACAAAAAGCCACAGAATAGTGGAAGTGATATTTGCTAAATGTGTGTTTGTGGCTATGCTGAGAAACTGATATCCATTGTGTGTGTGATATGTAAAGATTCAGCACACTAGGAATTAGTATATTTTTGTGTCTGAGATAGAGATGAATATAAATACTTTTTCTCATTGTAATTCTAAATTCAAACAACTTATGCAGATTTCTTTCTCAAAGTGAGAACTTTTGGCACAATATACCTTCATCTTAGTAACTCTCTGCTCCAAATTAAAACCATTTTGAGCTTAACTATACTGTTTGTTAGTAACAAGGATGAGTAATTTAGAATGTAATTAAACAGCTTTTGTTCTTAACTTCTCATGCATAGTGTCCACAACTTGTTCACTATATGAACAGTGCCTCAAGGGTTTATAGCAGTTGTTCTAAACTATAGTACACATAAATAAGTCACTTGTAACATAAAACAAGAGTACTTCAACAAATACAGAAGAAACTGACTACTTAGCTGATATGAAATTCTCCACTTGCTTGAACCTCTTTAACCCTCTTGTCATACTCATCTTCGTCCACCTCTTCCTCCGCGTCCACGTCTTCTTCTTCTTCCTCACCTTCCCAGCCAAAACCTTTAACAGGCGTCGATATTGGAGGAGGCTCTCTTGCTTCCCCCACAATTTTCATTATCTCCTCCACACTTTGAACAGAAAAGCTTGGATTGCCTCCTCTCTGGTAATAGATAGCCTGAGCTGATTCAGTTAGCTCCTTTGGAAGATTCTTTAAAAACCATGGGTGGTTCTTAATTTCCTCGAGATTGATTCTCTGTGAACAATAAAGGGAACATGCTCTGGCAGTTAGGTTGATGTAAATAAGATCTTGAGTCCTAATTACAACGCAGTTAAGACATATTCAAAAGCATTTGGTTTGACATAAATAAATCACATTTAAAATCTCCCCTTTTGCTTTGATTATGCATTTGGACAGAACTGAATATAAGAAAAAAACTTAAAGATTCTGCGAATTTTTAACTAAGAATGTACAAACCAATATCCAACAAAGTTACATGGCACCTAAAACTCAGGAAAACTAGCATAAGTTCTCACTAAATTATTCAAAGATTACAGTGTGATAAGACTACTATTTAAAATGTATATGCCTCAGATTCCTAATATCTTGACACCCTTATAAGGAATGCAGAGGGAAAGCAGTGCAAGGGAGAGGGGAAAAAAGGCCAAATTCATGTTTTGTATTATCATTGACATATAATGGTCTACAAGGGTTGATAAGTGAATACAAAAACAAATGTATATACTTAAACATCATAGCATACCCTCAATGGATTTGCAACAAATATACGAGAGAGGAGGTGTCTGCAATCTTCCGATATGTGAATATAATCAGGTATTTTGTATTGAACGGCCATTATACGCTGCAGAAGTGGATGGTAAAGGGAGATGAACTGATGAAATAATAACATAAGAAGCAATATGAAGATCAGCATCAAAAGGGAGGATAACATACCTGAATTGTTTTCTTAACATTCCTAGGATCTTCATGATCCTCAAAGGGATATGCTCCAACTAGCATCACGTAGAGAGTCACTCCACATGACCATACATCAGCCAACTAAAACAAATTGTAGAACATAAAACTTAAAATAGAAATATTGAGGAATTCACATAATGGAATATATGCATGTGTGAGGATAAAGATCCAATGAATTTAGAGCACATATAGTACCTTGCCATCATACTCCCTCCTAGAAAGAACCTCTGGTGCTATATAAGCAGGGGTTCCAACAGTCGATTTGGGTCGGGAATGAAGCAAAGATGACTACACCAAAAATAAGAAACACTCAGAGCTATTTTAGAGATGCACAAATTAGTATCAGCACCTTTAAATTCAGTGGCATTTACTCCAGTACCTTGGAATAACCAAAGTCACATATTTTCAAGCGAGGTGCAGGGCTCCCATCTAGAAGAGTATTTTCTAGCTTCAAATCTCTGTGGCATATTTGCTGCCAAAAGAAGAATAAAGGCACATCATTTTGTGTATTTTAGAGTGCATTAAGTCCAATAACTTTTCAATAAATTGAGCATGATTATACCATGGCATGACAGTAATGAACACCAGATATCAGCTGCTGAAAGAAATACCTAGCCTGAACAATGAAAGGGTAGGAAATGAGATATAGCTACTGCCTAGTGTAATGGCACTGAAAGCAAAAGAATGAAAAATATGAAGAAAATCTTGTGACATTATGTTAAGTTATTAACCTCATCTTCACTGAATCTACCAGCACTGCAAATCCTCTCAAAAAGTTCTCCTCCAGCTGCATACTCCATCAATATTGCTAAATGAGTTGGGGTCAAAACCACCTTAAAGAAATCAAAATCACAGTGAAACCAGAGCACATATTTAATAAAACATAAATAGAGTATTCAATACAAAGTGATCCAACAAGTAAACAAAATAAAGTCCTTGCCTCCTTGAAGCGAATTATATTAGGGTGCCTAAGGGACCTGTGGTTGATAATCTCTCTTGCAACATTCTCATCAATCTACAATTGGCAAGGAAATAATAATGAACAAAGTTTATGATTAATTACACAACACCCACATTCATTAATGATAAATCATTATCCCAAATGCAAAACGTGATTATGATATATCTGAAAAACCAAAGAGAAAAGGAAGCTTGATAAAAGAAAAGAAACCTTGTGTCCACGCTCTATGTATTTCATGGCAACAAGCCCCTTAGTCTCCTTGTTCCTCATGAGCCTAGCTACCCCAAAATTCCCAGCTCCCAAATCTTTAACAGTCTCGTACTTTTCCATGATCAAATCCTCAACTTGAACAAACGACACCAGTTATGATTTTATGCTTGAAACTCAAATGGGCATGCAAGTCACAACACCCTTTTGCACTCTGGTTAAAAGGGTGGTGTAAAGAACGTTGCTTTCACTGAAAGATTGGTTCTTTCTTAACATTTTTTATGTTATATAATAATGATGTAGAGAGCGACGGTGAATGAAGATTGGTTTCATTTGAAAAGTAAGGGCAGAAGAGGGAGAGTGCACGTGGAAGTGTGAGAGAGAGTGCAATAGAAAAATAAGCATTTGGTATTGGTATTGAATCCAGTTAGTCCCTCACATCGATTACCTTAATTTCTTATTGTCTGTTTCCCAGTTTGTTTTTGTTTTGGGTGTTATTTTAATTGTTTTTTACATAGAATGAAATGCATGTTTTTTTTTAAATGTTAAAATTATAATTTTATTGTAATCAAAGAAATATATATCTCATTAAA